TATAACTCACTTAAATTTTAAGTACTCTATAAGGAGAATAATATCTATACTCTCTATATACTACTATATTTATCGCACCTCCTATAGCCACTTAATGTTAGCTATTTCTCGCCATTGAAGCGTACATACAGCCGCTAGATTAAGGGCCTAATTTATGATTATATTAACCATATTACTAAGCTGGAGTTCCTACTAGCCTTCTATACAGCCTATAACTAGTTAATTATAAAGGAGAATATCTACATAAGCTTTTAAGGCGCTGGCCTAGTACTATATAATCCTAATAGGGTGATAGTAAAGCTTAATATAAAGCTTTATACGCCAATACCGCCTACACTAGAGACTACCCTCTAGGAAGTATAAACACTAAGTAACGTACGTGAGCTAGAGGCTTAATTAATATTAATACGTAATAGGATATAGAGGCATAGAAGCTTATTACCTATATCTATTATTAAGAGACTTAATCAGCTTGAGAAAGGCTCTATAATGGTAATATATAAAATAGCATTAATGCGTAATTAGATCAAGAGCCTTAAGAAAGTAAATAAGACTACTATAATGTATAGAAAGCGCAAAAAGAAGCGTATCTAGAAGTAAGGCACCCTATTAAAGGTAGAGGTAGAGGAAATTTGTAACGAGCAGATCGCGAAGTTCGTTATAGTGTTGTGGCATATGGCGCTAAGGCCTGATAGAGTCCTAGCGTGCCAAGCGAGTTGGCTGCGTATACCCCGCGCCGCACACCGGCTTCAGGGAAGTCAAGTATTATTCACTCAATACCATCAAGTCATCCTTTCACTATCAATCCTAGCGTGAAGCAAATACTATTGCCTATAGCTAGACCTCACAAAATTATAGCTTAAAATAAGGTTAAGTAGTAGCTTAAGGGGGAAATGTATTAAGGTAGGGCGTAATTAGGTACTAGTTAGTAGGCTTCCGCGCGCTATAGGCGCTATAGGGAGACTAGCCATAACTCGCGAATATATAAGAAGGATACTAGAGATGTAGCTTAATCTAGTATAATACGTATATTCTATTATTTTATCTTATTGTTAAGATAGATTCCTATAAAGTGGTGAAAAGTTAGTAGGGTACGCCACTCGCTTACCTACGCTACTCGCTTACTAG